CTTCAGAGCTCTGAATTCTGAACGCAAGAATTCGCAGGCAGACGCCCCGAATTCAACGAGGGGGGGGAGGTGCCCCGCGCCCCGCCCGCCCGACGCCGAGGCGAGGTTCACGCATCCTCTCCTTCCCGCAGCGGCGGCAGCAGCATCTGCAGCAGCCCCCCCCGCCACCTCCTTCCCCTACAAAAACTTGCCTCTGAGGTGTCATACTCCTCCCCGCGACATTGCGGCGAGGAGGCGCGCGGCGCCCCGCTCGAGCGGGCCCCGCGGGGCGGAGCCTGCCTTCCTCGCCGCCTTCCTCCTCTGCGCGGGGATCTGTGCGCGCAGCCGCTCGAAAATGCACATCTCGGCCGTCGCGCGGTCGAAGCAGGCCACGAGGCGACCCTTGCACACGGGGCCCACGGGGCCCTTGTTCCTCTTCCACTTGAAATCCGGGATCAGCTCGGCCAACTTCCGGGGGGGCCGATGGCTGGGCGATTTTGCGGTAGAACTCTTCGATCGCCCCCTTCTCCCCCCAGTCAGTCCTGGCCTGCTATCCACGTCACGAGCGCCGCGAAGATCTGCGCGTGGCGCGCGCGGGGGCCCTCGACTTTCGTAGTCTGGGTTCTCTCCTTCGTTTTTCTGATGTTTGAGGGCCCTGGACTCTTCGTTGTGCGCTTTGCCTGCGTCCCCCAGCACTTTGTGGAGTCCGTCTTCTCCCCCTGGCACGTCTATCTCGCGCGTCATGCGCGCTGCGCCGGCGAGTTCTGCGAGCTCCCTCGAGCTCGTCAGAGCGAGGCGCGTGGGGATCATCAGCAACTCTCTGAGGGCGGCGTCTCCTCCCTTCTTCGCAGCTTCTGCGACCTCGGGCTTGAGTTTCATGGACTTGCGCTCTCCGTCGCCCGACGCGGGCGCCCCCTTTAGCCAGGCCGGCGCCTCGAGGGGCATCGCGAAAACGAACGCCGGAAGGAGGCTGGGCCGGACGAGGCGCATACTCGAACAAATTTATACGGAGGGCCTCTGGGTTCTCGGCCGCTGTCTTGCGCAGCGCGCACGCACGACAAGGAAGCGGGCCCCGCGACCTCTCGAAACGCAGCGCCCCCCTTCGTCGGACACGCCCCCGATATCATACCAGGCGCAAAGTGTCGAGCAGCCGTGATCTTACTCTGGAGCGCCCCCCGACATACAATGCATTGGTTCGTGCGCGTCAAGACTTGCGCGAGAGAGCGAACATGGCGGCGCGCGCGACGGTGGTTCGACAACTGCGCCCGCGTCTCAAAGCGCGCGTCGCGCACCTCTCCGCCCTCCTCCTTCCGGTTGCACACCCGCGGCTCAACCTCCCCCTCTCCTTCCAGCCACGCGAGATCATCATTCTCAGCGTGCGCGGGGGGGGGGCTGCCGACCAGGTGAGGGGGTGCTCTTTCTCATCGGGCGCCAGCGGATCTCCGCGAAGTCGAAACGAATGAACTCTCAAGCAATCTGACTCTACAGTGCGAGACGGGGCCGCGGACGGCAGGGGCAAGACAGGCGACTCATCCACCAACGCGCTGGCCCCCTGGAAATCCTCGGCCGCCCTGCGATCCCACGGGGAAGCCCCAGGAGAGAGCCCCGAATATGTCCGCGGGGTATAACTTAATGTCTGACACACCAACTGCCCAAAGAAACCGAGTTATTGACTAGATTGGCCAGTTTTTTATTGCCCGCCGCCGAAGCCAGCGCCGCGCGAGCATCTCGGCATCGGACGACACGAGCTTGCAGTTGTCTAAGAGCCCCCCCCCCCCCCCCCCCCCAGCCCCTGATATCATCGCCCTCCCTGTCGCGCGCCTTTCCCTTTTGATCCGCCCTGCAGAAATACCCTAGCCTGTCATCGAGCTGTGTGTGCTGCGATTTCGTCATCAGCCTGGTTTCCAGTCCGCTAAGTAAGGCATTGTGAGGTAGCCGGATGAGCAGGCATCTTTTGAATCTCCAGGGAAGCGATAGTTGCCAGATGCCTCCATGACACCAGAAAGCACTCGAGGCTGAGTTAAGGCGAAGTGGGAGCTCAACCCCTGTTCCCCCATCAGGACTCACCCTGGGGCCCAGATACCGTGTCTCTTGCTTGGCGCTGCCTCCCAAGTCTCCATGACTATATATAAACACATCTATATTTGTATATGTATATGTATATATACATACATATATATATATGTACACACCGCCTCCGATACCGAGCAGCATCTGCACCTTCGATCCTGGCCAGGAATTCCTGCTTTGAGACGTTCTGGGCATAACCCATCTGCGCCAGCTCCGAAGTAAGTTTGGAATATGAGACGGCTAGCTGCTGAGCAAAATCCTTCAACTGGCACTCTTGTGGCGCCACGTCGAACTTCCACAAATCGTCTGCAAATTTCCGCAAAGAGAGGTCCACGACGGAATTTTTCCACCTACGCCCGAGAAAGTTCATGAGTGCAGGTTTGATCTGACTTAACCAAGCAAGGATGGGGCGCCGAAGTGCGCCTTGAAAAGGGTCGCCCATCAATCCTCCGTGACAGGGTCGCCCATCAATCCCCCCTCTCCCGTCTTGATCAGCAAGTCTCGATCGGCACTCGGGGGGCTGATAGTTGCCTCTCGGGATCTCTGAATAGCTAATCTGCGATCCCCCCCCCCTCGAATACTGCTGCGCCGTGAATTCCAGCCCCCCCCCCCCCCCCCCCCCAACCCCCGCATGCACATGCATTGGATAACCGTCTCCTCGCCCGCGCGAAACCACGGTCGAACGGGTCGGGAGGTGCCTGCAGCATATCAGCGAAAAACATATTCCCAAGAGGTGGCAATATGTGCACCACTCTCATCCCTGCAGGTCCAGGTCTACTTGGCTTCCTCAGCGCACAACCCGAGATCCTTTGCCAGAACGCCGGTACACGTTCATTGCGTCGGATGTTCCGGGGCCCAGCCACCAGGAAATCACGAAATATTCTGATAGCAGGTAGCTCAGGCTGAAACCCAAGACCACGTCCAGTACGATTGGAAATCTGTCGCAGAGGATGTAGACATAGCTGCCAAGGCTCCGCGGGCGTCGTTCCTTCTGGTACTGCTCGTCGTCGTGGTGCCCGTCGGGATTGGAATCCAATCCTCTCGTAATCTTCCTACGCAGCACACACGCAATGGCTTCTGTCAAAGGCGGCATCGAGGTTTTGAGCTGCTGCTGTTGCCAGGCATTCCACTCAATCTCCGTGGCGCTCATTCCTCCGTCACGCCCTGCCCGTTCCCTGTGCTGTAGCCATTCTGCTGCGGCGGGGGGCGCTCCTCTGAATGATCTCGAATCTCTCTTCTTCGGCCCAAAGCGACATCTGGCAGCAAAGCGGCTCAGCCCCATCGCAACAACCACTTGTCTCTGCCCCCATGACTCGTATATCTCCTGTTCCAATCCTTCTCGTCCCTCTGAACATGGTTATGTCGTAACTTCTTCATCTGCTGACTCAACTGCTTCAGCTCCGTCTCTACGTGATCCAGTCCAACTCCAGCTGATATCATCACTCTCAATGTACACCGTTCTGCAAGAAACTGTCTGCGTCGAAGTGCGCCATCTTGATATCGCTTCGACATCTGACCCCGCTAAAACAAATCCTTCCCACAACTAGCCATCACTTCTTCCAGGAATTCAAAACCTTTGTCTGGGTTCGAAAGAATCACCGAACAAATCCACTCGTGCTCCGCCGCCGTCAACTTCTCAACCACTGCTGATACAAAGGCTGCTCTTCTGTCGCCGTACTTTAGTGCATCCATGAGTTTGTCCCGATCTCATATCGTCACTTGGGTGAGCTCTCTGGTATGCCAATATGTCTCCCATCCGATCGAAATAAAGACTGGCAGGTGGTCACGTGGTCCTTTTTCCTTGTAATGCTTGCAACTGCTTGCCTAACTTGTGAACTGGGTGACGTCTCGCGATACAATATTGTACCCCACGCGCGGCCAAGCAGAAATCAATCAGACTGCACGTGTTGGGTCCAAAGTACGTGAACTCCCGCGGCCCGAGACTACTTGCAACGACCAGCTGGTGCCGATCCGCCAAGATAAGTAGTTGTTCTCCCGCTCCATGTCTTCTCGCCTCTCGGGTCGCCGTGGGGGCGTTAGAATCACTCTGCGCTCGCTGCCAGCTTCCACTCTCCTTCGTTTCTCCGATACCGTCGTTGGCGTCAATAGATACCATCGGCTAGCATCTCTGGGGCATCTCATTCACCACAGCATTCATCCAATCTCTCAAGACTCAAGCATTCATCCAATCTCTCAAGACTCAAACGGTCTGCATATACAATGCGATGTCTCCACGCTTCCAGGGCCGGCGGCTGGGGGGGGGGAAGTACGCCGTCATCACCAACAAGTCGATCGTCCCTCTCTTAATACGTCTCGCAACACATATCCCCCCGCTGATGGTGGGCTTGGCCATGCTCTGATCATATCGTTCTCTCGGCCCCTTCTCCCAGCACGATCATGACCCCACAGCTTTTGTTCGTATATTGCCCAGGAACAGCTGCACACTCATAGATCCTCCTCCTCTGGATGGCAGATACAAGTGCGTTCTCAGGCTCTCTTCTGATAGACGTCGTGCCGATCAGTGCGACTACGTCCAGGGAGGAGGTCTGCATCAGGATCTCCTCGAGGCGGCTCCCCGAGGCCCACATCGGATTCCACCCAATCGCTCGCAACATCACCAGCAGTCCAATCGCTCGTAACATCGCCTGGCCGCCAGCTCGACTCGGGTGCGGGATTAACCATCAAGTGAAGGGTGGGGCATGGCGCGGCCGCTCGGCCAAACTCTCCGACATAGATGGCGGCTGACAAAGGAGGAATGAGGAAAGAGGATGAGGATGAAAGAGGATGAGGAGGAAGGGAGATGCAGGAGGGGGAAGGGAGGAGAAAACCCACCGCCCTCGTGAAACCGCCACTCCTCACGAGAGAGGTTTAAGAGGAGGAGGAGGAGGAGGAGGAGGAGGAGGAGGAGGAGGAGGAGCAGGAGGAGGAGGAGAAGGAGGAGGAGGAGGAGCAGGAGGAGGAGGAGGAGGAGGATGAGGGGGAGGGCCTGCAAGACGAGGAACAAGAAGGTCAGGCCATCCGCGGGTGCCGCTCAGAGGGGCCCGAAGAGGTCCACCTCTGGCTGGGGAGGCGTGACCGACAGCAGCACGGCGAGCGCCATGAGGCCCGACGTGAAGAAGCGCCGCCCCCTCTGCGCCTGTGGGCCCAACGATCCGAAGGTCCGGCAAAATTGGAGCGGCCGGTTCTGGGTCGTGTTTGGCCTCAGAGGGGCCCTCGCCGGGCCCCGGGACCGTAACAAAGACTGCTCAGGATCCAAAGCCGGCCCTACCAGGAAGTGGTCCTTCGGGGGTCGACGCATCGAATAAAATGAAGCGCTTGATGAACAGGAGGGGCCGGCAAGCACCGCCCCCCAGCCTCGAGATTCCAGCCTGCAGCCTCCGACCCACAAATGCTCCTCTCGCCGCCGTTCCCCTGCTCATCCTCCGCCTCTTCTCCTCCTCCTCATCCTCCTCCTCGATTGGATTCCGCTTGATCGCGTGGGGGGGAAGCGTCACGCACCGCGGGAGGGGCTACCAAGTGCATCACGCGCAGGGCCAATCGAGAACCCCCATTGAAAACGAAGAACACACAAACTTACCCATCCGACAGACGACTTACGACCAAAAACTCATCACCCAAGCCAATACTGCCGAACTAAGCGCAGATGATCCGCCCATCACCAAGCCTTTCACTTCAACGCGACGAGCAAACAACCGAAAGACCAGAGATAACCTCATGACACCCTGGAAGACTGCAAACTTGAGCGCTGCCCAGGGCTATCGGTCAAAGCCAGGATAGCCATGATAAAAGCAGGTGGCGAGTCGGCAGACTAGTCACGATATATCACACGCGGAGGATACAGGTATAACAGATAGTGAGCATGAGTATAGCAGCGTATATGTACCCATGGAGCGCGGTTCCTGCCATGCTCCCCCATCCTAGCTGTACACGTCCTTCATTTCTAATCGCGTTCATTTCTAACTGTGCTCGTTTCTAATTGTTCCTGGCCCCCTAGTGGCCAGGAAGAGGCCCAGGATAGAACGATTAGAAATGAAAGGATCGTGGCCCCCAAAAATCAAAGAACAATCGAATACTTAGAAATGAACCATGCGTTTATCCCTTCGTCACGTTTCCAGTCATACATCGCCGTGACGAAAATGTCTTTCAATACGCCTTTTGAAATGACGCGCTCGTGCGGAATAGTTCGGAGTAGTTTTACTAAAACTACTCCGCGCGCAATCGCATCCCGCTCGATAATTTATATGGTTTGGCGCGGAGTAGTTTCCGATTCCGTTTTGGGGTCGCAGAGATATTAACGTCTACGGAATCGGAAACTACTCCGCCGAATGATCCCAGCATCATGTCATGTTAGGAATCTTGAGAGGGATGGGAGAGATCTTCATCGTAACAAATTGAAGAAACTTTGGTCACGGCTGTGTAGAGCTTTTCCTTCACACCAGCGGACCCGACTGGAGCGAGCGCGCTCGCGCACGCGCGCTTGCACGAGATAGCTCATGCGCGGCCTTGCGTGCCAAATCCTATCGTAATTGGTTTTGGTTCTTTTCCAAAGAACTCTCCCTGACACTCCGGCGCGTCCCGCCGGCCACCCGGAAAGGACCTCAATCCAGAAAACAAATCCTCCCAAACAGCTCAAGATGGCCTCCAAGACGGCCACGTTAGCCCAAGATGCCCTCCAAGTCCGCCCAAGATGGTCCAAGACGGCCTCATGACGGCCCAAGAGTCCAAGATATCTCCAAGTTCGCCCAAGAGGCCCCCAAGACGGCCCAATACGACCCAAGAGGCCTCCAAGATGTCCTCCAGGAGAATCCGAAGAGGCCAAAATCATTGATGATCTGAAAGGTTTTTGAAACATTTTGGCATGTGTCTCTTCTCGGCATTCCGACGGGTCAAGACGGCCCAAGGGGCCCCCAAGATCGCCCCAAGATCGCCCAAGAGGCCTCCAAGAGAGACCCTTGATGGCACAAGGGCCCCCAAGACGGCCCCAAGAGGGCCCCAAGAGGCCTCCAAGATGGCCACGATAGCCTCCAAGACGGCTAAGATGGCCCCAAGATGCCTCCAAAACAACCTAAGGTGCACCGAAGACGGCCTGAGATGGCCTCCAGATGGCCTGAGACGGCCCAAGAGGCCCCCAAGAGGCCTCCAAGACGGCCCAAGAGGCCTCCAAGAGGTCCTCCAGGAGTGCCTGACGAGACCAAAACCGTTGACGTTCCTTGGGTGTTTGAAGGATTTTGGTTCGGGCTTCTTCTCGACATTCCGACGCCTCAAGACGGCCCAAGAGGCCCCCAAGATCGCCCACGAGGCCTCCAAGATGGCCCTATGACGGCCCAAGAGGCCCCCAAGACAGCCCCCAGAGGGCCCAAGGGGCCTCCAAGACTGCCAAAATGGCCTCCAAGAAAGCTAAGATGGCTCCCAGATGCCTCCAAAACGGCCCAAGATGCACCCACGACGACCTAAGATGGCCTCCAGATGGCCCAAGACAGCCCAAGAGGACCCGAAGAGGCCTCCAAGACAGCCCAAAAGGCGTCCAGGAGATCTTCCAGGAGGGCACGAAGAGGCCAAATTCATTGAGTGTCCTTAGGTTTTTGAAGGATGTTGGCATTTCTTCTTCTCTGCATTGCTTCTTCTCTGCACTCCGACGGCTCAAGACTGCCCAAGGGGCTCCCAAGATCGCCCAAGAGGCCTCCAAGATGGCCCATGACGGCCCCAAAGGCCCCCAAGATGGCCCCCAGAGGGCCCCAAAACGGCCCAAGAGTCCTCCAAGACACCCAAGATGGCTTCTAAGAACCGCTGATATGCCCCAAGAAGGCCCCAAGACGACACAGACAGGCCCCCAAGACGGCATCCGACGGCGTCAGGCAAGCCAGGAACGCCCTGAGACTGCCAAAGAGCCCCCCAAGACGCCCCCAAAGGCCTCCAAAAAACCCTCCAAGAGGCCCCCAGGAAGCTCCCAGGAGGCCCCAAGAGTGCCCCAAGAGGCGCCCGAGAGGCCTCCTCCTCCTCCTCCTCCTCCTCTTCCTCCTCTTCCTCCTCCTCTTTTTTCCTCATCCTCCCCCTCCTCCTCTTCTTGCCCCCCCATGCGTTCCCCGACGTCTTTCCAAACCGACTCGGGGAACAACTGGCCCGACAGCTTGGCCAAGCTCTGGCCCAGCTGTCGGCCACAGAGGCGCTTCCAAAGGGGCAGGGGGCGGCGGTGTTTCGCCGTAGGCGTCTTCGGTCCACCGCCCCCCTGCCGATTCATCGCAGGGGTGCCTGGCGTGCTGGGCCCTGTCGGTGTTGGTTTTGGTTCCTTTTCCAAAAGGGCTCCCCCTGGGGCGTCGGCCCGTCCCGCCAGCTGCCTGCCTCGTCGGCTGCTTCACTCAAGATGGCCCAAGATGGCCCCCAAGCCGGCCAGTATGGCCTCCAAGGCAGCTAAGATGGCCGCAAGACGCCTCCAAGACGGCCCAAGATGCACCCAAAACGACCTAAGATAGCCTGAAGATGGCCCAAGACGGCCTAATAGGCTTCCAAGAGGCCCCCAAAGAGGTCTCCAAGAGGCCTCCAAGAGGTCATCCAGAAAGGCCCGAAGAGGCCAAACTCATTGATTTTCCTTGGGCTGTTGACAGAATTTGGGGTTCGCGCCTTTTCGGCCTTCCGACGGCCCCAGACGGCCCAAGAGGCCCCCAAAGTCGCCCTAGAGGCCTCCACGATGGCCCCAGAACGGCCCAAAAGGCCCCCACGACGGCCCCAATAAGGCCCTAAGACGGCCCAAGAGGCCCCCGAGACGGCCCCAAGATGGCGCCAAGACGGCTCCAGAAGCCTGTAAGACGATCAAGATGGTCTCCAAAACGGCCAAGATGGCCTCAAAGATGCCTCCAAGACGGCCAAGATGACCTCCAAGACGGCCAAGATGGCCCCAAGATGCACCCAAGACGGCCCCAGATGGCCTGAAGATGGCCTTGGACTGCCCAAGAGGCTCGCCAGAGGCCTCCAAGACGGCCCAAGACCCCTCCAAGACGTCCTCCAGGAGGCCCGAAAACTCGGAAACCACCTGTTCCGATAGCTCGCCCGACTCCGTGTTCCCCGAAGGCTTTCAAAACCCACTCGGGGAACGCGTGGTCCGATAGCTTGGCCGAGCTCAAACCCAACTTTCGGCCACGCAGGCGCTTCCAAAAAGGCAGGGGGCGGCGGTGATTCGCTGTAGGCGTCTTCGATAACGCCGACGTCTCAATATGCGCTGATGATTCCGATTCGCCCCCGCATGATGTTCCCATGTGCGCCATGGCAGCGCCGAGACGCACCGATGTGACTGTGCGATATCCCAGTATGATGGACAGGGGGCGGCGGCAAGGGGCGAAGCCCCCAATGATGAAGACACGGCACACAAGGGCTGGGGAGCCAATCGTGAAACCAAGAAGAATGCAGCAAACCGTGCCTGAACGTCCACGTTGAAGCTGCGGAGAACGTCGGCCTGCAGCTCCTCAAGGGCGAGGGTGCCCAGCGATATGAGCAGCATGGCGAAGAGACTGAGCTGCGCCATCGGCAGCATGATGCCGCTCACCTGAGGAGAGAAGACGATTTTGGCGCAGGAGGCGAAGGCGACGGATGATGAGGACGAGGGCCGGGCGAAGCACGAGGAGGAGGAAGAGGAGGGAGAGGAGGCTATGACGGACGGTGGAGGGCGAGGGGGGAGATAGAGGATAGGGACGCCAGCAAGACTGTGGAGGAGGACGAGGGGGAGGACAGCAACGGCAGCCAGAAGAGAGAGGCGGAGGACGAGGAGAGGGAGGGATGCGGAGGGAGCCCAGATCCCAGGGCGGCTGCGCAGCGCGCTGCGCCCCCACGCGCGCAGAGCCCCCCGCGCTGCGCCCCCCCCCCCCCTCCCCCCCACCGCGAAGGCGCAGGCCCGCCGAGGAGGAGCGACGGCCCGAACGCCGGAGCAGGCACAACACCCGTGCCTTGCCTCCCGCACTCCGTGCCGCACTCCGCCAGCATCTCGGGTGCGAGGCAGCTCAGGGAAACAGCACCGCGAAGCCTCAGGCCAGCACGAGCTCCCGCAACACCAAGGCCACACCAACACGCCGCACCGCCCTGCCTCCACCAAAGAAAAGTGGGCAGGTTGCCGCACGCAAGACGCAGACCCACCCCAGCAGGGGCCGTGAAGGTTACCCCCTGCATCGGTAGGCGAAGACGATGAGCTCTTCCGCGTACCTCCCAGCCGCGCTCCCCGCGCGACGCGCCTGGGCTCCCGCGCTCTGCCTCGCGTCCCCCTTCCGCTCGAGGTTCGAGGCCGGCCCCACCCTCCGCAGGGCACCTCCTGCCTTTGGGTCGGCCGTCCCTCGGGGGATGTGGCGATCGCCGCCGCCATCCGGAACCAATCCGAAGAGGATGGGAGCGGCTGAGGGGGAGAGGGCGAGGAGGAGGAGGAGGAGGAGAATGGGGAGGAGGAGGAGGAGGAGAATGGGGTCGGATCATCTTCCCCGGCCCGACAAGGGAAAAGAAGGAGGAGGAGGAGGAAGAGGGACGAAGAGGAGGAAGAGGAGGAGGAGGAGGAGGAGGAGCAAGAGGAGGAGGAGGAGGAGGAGGAGGAGGAGGAGGAGGAGAAGAAGGCGGAAGAGGAGGCGGAGGAAGACAAGATTTGGAGGGCAGGGCGAATCTAATTGTTTCTCCCGGGCACCAGCATCAACAGCCGCCCCGAATACTCGATCATGACCGTGTCCTCGCCGGTTCTCTCCCTCCTTCTCCTCCTCCTCCTCCTCCTCCTGCTGCTCCTCTTCCTGCACCGCCTCGTCCTCCTCCTCCTCCTCCTCCTCCTCCTCCTCCCTGGCCCCCCGCTCTCACCCTCCCTGATCCGTGGTCCCAGCGTGCTGCTCGTTACTGCCGTTGCTCTTCATATTCATCCTTTTCCCTCCTCCCTCTTCCTCCGGTTCCCTCCTCCGCCATTCCTCCTCATTCTCCCGCCGTCTCCTTCTCCCTCCCCCTCCCCCGTCTCTGCTCCCTGCTCCCTCTCCTCCCGAGGTTGAATGGGGTTGTCATGTGAGCTAATGCCATCCTGATCGTCCTGACCCATGCCGCGCGAGGAGATGGGCGGGGTTTCCAATCAATATGCGGAATAGCCGGGCAATTCCCAAACTGGCGGTTTCGCTAGGGGCATGCTCACAGAATAAACACTTGGACCGACCCCAATAATGTCTTGAAGGGAGGGGCGCGGAGACCCGGTGGAAGGGTAAGAAAGGGTGGGGAAGAGGGGGGACGGGTGAGGGAGCAAGGGCAGGTGAGAGCAGAACGCACGGGCAACATATACACACAATAGATCTCTGCCGCGGATCAGCGGCATCCGTGTCTCACCAAGAAGAAACTCATGTTGAGCCAGAATGGTTACGGGTATGTGTGGAACCCTTTGTGTTGGGAACCCTATGTGTGGACCCTATGAGTGGGACCCTGTGTGTGTGGAGCCCTATGCGTGTAACCACTTGTGTGCCACCCACCGCGGCCCCCCCCGCGGAAACCACCGCGAGACCCATCTCACAACATGCCGCAAAAACCCTCAGCGTAACCGACCGCGCCAAACGGTAACGGCGGACTCTGGCCCTGAACGAAGGGCGGATGCCTGCCGCGCAAACCACCACGTTCCTGTCCATGATGGGACCTCTGCAGACCAGGCCAGATCCATGCAACACCAGATAGAAACCTGTAAAGGCAAACGCTGTTTAGGGAGTGTGTGGGTGTGTACGTGTGTGCGTGAGTGTTTCTGTGCGTTTGCGTGGGGTCCTGTGTGCATGCGTGTGGAAGCGTTGCGCGCGCGTGTAGTCCCACGTTTGCCACATCAACGCGCATACCACTGCGCAACAGAACGCACACCGAACATCCCATCACACAGATCGTGGCGCAAACCCTCCGCGTTCTGCACGATCCATCGCGAACCCACCGCGCAACTCACCGCGCAACCGCACGGCGGCAACTACCGAAACCACTGCACATCGGCGCACACGGACCGTTGCACACCGCGCAACCCACCGCACAGCCCCATAACGACGACTGCCACATACCAGCGCGCAAGGCCACAAGTGTCAAGCAAGAATCCCTCAGTGCAAAACTGTTTGGGGAACGTACGCACCAATGATAGCCCGTAAACACCTTCCAATCCTTCTCTTCCTTCCAATCCTCCTCTTCTTCCTCTCGCTGCTCCCGATGCCCCACAACACCTCCTCAGCCTTAGAATGGCCCAGAACTCCCCCACGAAACCTATTTTAACAAATCTCCCAAGACCCCCTGAATCTAGACAGTTAACAATATTGATCGTCCCCGTTCCTCATCTTCTCTATCCTCGTCCTCCTCGTCTTCCGTTTCCTCTTAATTTTGCCTCCACCTCTTTCAACCTCCTCCTACCTTCTCCCTCCTCTTTTCCTCCCTCCGCCTCCCTCGTCCTCAGCATCACTCGTCACTCCTCGACAGCGGTCATACCGCGCCAAATGCGTGACAGCATCCCGAACTTCAGAATGCTAGCCATGACCACGCACATCACGGCCCCGATCTGGGATAGCCTGGGCACGGCGAGACGAGTTGGGGGAGGAGGGGGAAGAAGAAAGAGTACGTTGCATGACGGGGATGGTATGGGGGGAGGTAGGGTTAATAGGCGGTTGTGGGATGAGATGGTGGAGGAGGAGGCGGAACAGCGATGACCAGGAGAAGGGGGGTTGAATACGGATGTAGAAGAGAAGAGGGACAGAGGGCGGGGAGGAGGGCAGGGGATGGGAGAGACGAGTGCGGAAGGGCGGGGGGGTCATAATTTTGCTCGATGGTCTGTCGACCAAGGGAAACCCCACGAACCCCGCAGGCCCCGCGAACCATCGAGCCCTCGGGGGGCCCCTGCGGCGCGGCCCCGGGCGCACGAGCAGGCCGGCGCTGGAACTCTCGCACGCCTGGCTCAACTCGTGCCAACCGCGGAACCTCCGAGAGCCATGCCTTTCCGGCGCCGCTTCCCGTTCCGCCACGTGCTCAGCTCTGGCGCAACGCTCTGTTCACGCCTGGGCCGCGTGGCTCCGGGAGCGGCGCGTGGCGCGGAATTCCGCGAGGCCCAGCCATGGGATGCCGATCTGCTCCCACGCATACCACGTGGCCTTGCGAACGCACGAACCACACGAGCCAGCCTTCTCGAACGAATCTCCTCCTGCTGCCGAGTGCACCGTCTCCGACGAGTCCGCCTTCTCCGACGATTCGGCATTCTCCGACTTGTCTGCCTTCCTCGACACAACCACCGTCCCTGGCGATTTCGCTTTCTCGCACGCATGTCCCTTCTCCACGCGGCTCGCTTTCTCCGACGAGTCCTCCTTCCCCGACGAGTCCGCCTCCTCGAGCGGAACTCCCGTCTCTTCCGAATGAGTCTTATCCGACGGGCCCGCCTTGTCCGACGAGTCGTTCTGCTTCTCCGAAAGATCAGCCTTTTTCCGACGAGTCCGTCGTCTTCTCGATTGAGTCTCTGTGCGTTTCCGAATTGACCTTCTCCGACGAGCCAACCTTCTGCGACGCGTCGTCCGTGTCGTCGGGCAACTCCGCTTTTTCCGAACGGGTCGCCCTTCTCGTCAGCGCACGCATTCTCAGACGAGTCCGCCTTCCCTGGCGAGTTCTCCTTCTCCGTAGAGTCGCCCGCCTTTTCCGACAGATCCGCCGTCTCCGACCAGTCAGCTTTTTCGCAGGACTGCTTCTTCTACTTCCCGCACTCGCTGGTCACATCGGTGCAGATGTTGGCGGAGGGTTCCGTCCTCGCCTGCACCGATGCCGTCCAAGGCTGAACCTGCTCCCAGGCGTCGCTGCTGCCAGAGACGCCCTGCGCCAGGGCGAGCCAGTCGATCGCCGCCTTGCGGCAGGTGGCGAGGCGCAAACGCCTCTGCGCGCCGCGGCGGCTGCGCCCTCACCTCTGGGGGCCCACAAGTCGAAATCAGGTCGGCGCCCGACCAGCGCATGTTGCCCGCGCCCGTGCGGCGGACTGCGCGCTGGGCGCCCAGCTGATTGAGCCAGCGCCTTGTGAATGGGGGGGGGGACAGGGAGAGGAATGATGAGGAGGAGGAGGAGGAGGAGGAGGAGGAGGAGGAGGAGGAGGAGGACCCGCACTCGTTCTGCCTGATGAGTCGGCGGCGAGCGAGCGGGGGTAGTGAGAAAGAGAGGGCCTTCTCAGAATGCGGCGTGACTTCTCAGAAGCCCTTGCGCCTTCTGAGAATTTGTTCGTGTCTTCGGGGAAGGCTTAGAAAACTTCTCAGAAGGCCGGGGGACTTCCGAGCCTTCTAAGAAGGCCCACCCCTTCTCACTTCCCCCCCGGGCTTGCCGCTGAGAAAGGGGGTGGAGGTGGACGAGGGAAGACGGAGGAGATTGGGAACCATGTTGAAGAGGAACGGACGGCGCGCACAGGATGCAATTTGGAGGAGGAGCGGGATGACGAAGTGGGATGCTGGAGTGGGGTGAGGGTGGTGGCGGGGAAAATGAAACGAAGGCGGAGGGAGAAGGAGACGGGAATGAGGACGCGAGAAGGAGTGGAGGAGGGAAGGAGAGAGGGCGAGGATGAGGACGATTTCGCACTTAACTGAAATACGATGGATACCGATTCAACATTTGCGGCTGGAGACGACACGGATGGCTGCCCAAACAATACAATGGTCAGTTCCTTAAGCGGCTGATGGCCGAACACAGTCGATAAGTTTCGAGGCAGCTCCATCGAAGCTGAGAACCCCCCCCTGCTGGCTTCCCCCTCGCCCTCTGAAGGCACATAATTTCAACTAACACATACGACAACATTTGTCCCTGCCTCATTCCCACCCCGAAAGCACCCCCTCATGTACTCTGCATAACGAATGCAAGTGCAACCTTCGGTTTGCGATGGCCTGGACTGGCAACACATATGTAAAAACGTGTGTCAACTTACTTACACAAACACAGACGCGAATCTAGTAAGTACACATACGCTCTAAGGGTCCTGGCTCCCAGGGTGATGATGTCTGCGCGGTCGACCGCCGACAAAGGGTTCTCCCAGACCCGCTCCACGACCATCAACCTCCGGCAACAAGAGGAGGGTGAGGACAAGCAAAATGTTGAGGTGCAGAAGGAAAAGGCGGATAACGATGACGAGGATGACGTACTTTCGATTGATTTGTTACGTTTCGCTCGTTAGGGTGCTTCTTGGAGCGGCAGCGTCGCCACTGCTGGATTGGTCATGGACCAACGAGAAAGGGTAACATAACCTCGTAGTTTTCGGCGCCCCTAAGAATGGCGACAAAGATGTGTACGACGGTAGTGACGAAACTGACGTGACAACTCAGGATTACGCGCGGAAGAGGGCGGTGGCAGCAGCTATGACGACGCGGAGCTGGACGACTCTGAACGGACTGGCACCGATCGAACAGAGACCGAACGGCTTGATGAGCACGAGCTGTCACGCATGGTCGGGGAGGAGCCACGAGAGCATTATGGCGAGGGCATCGATTCCGGAGGATTCAGGAGAAATTCTAGGCCGGGCCTTCGCCGTCGTGTTCAGCGCGATGGAGGCTGATATCGACCGCTTTGATCTTGAACGAGCGGCCATGAAGCGCGAGGATGAATCTGCTGCACAACAAAGCTAGACTAGCAATTGCGACGACAACCCCGTGAATACCTCGTTTTCCACCCCTATCGCATTTCTCGACCGCGTGAGCAGACGTCGGAGGTCCCATACGTGTACATGTGTTTTATATTCCCGTACATCAGTCGGACTAAAGTGCTAGGAAGGTAGCCACCGTACATCAAATTAAACGCACATTGTCTGTTCCAAGCTATGGAAGAGCCTTGGGCAAAAACGTCGCCGATCATCTGGAAGAAACAATGTCATGTGGCAAGGGGAACGGATCGATGTCCAATGCAATCCGTAATATTGACCGACATGCGCAAATGCAATGTGCGCGGGCTGCGAGAGCGTAGCAGTTCCGAACCAGCGTGGGCCCGCTCGGGGTTCAACGCATTTCAGGCTCGACCAGTCGCGTCCAAATTGCGTCCAAGTCACGCCAGGCGAATTGCAATCACATGTAGTTGGCGCGGGAGGGGGAGCGAGCTGGAGAAATGCTGCCAATGACAATGACCGAAGAGGGCGGAGGACGATGATGAGATGGCAAACCACCCTCGCTCAATGTTCCCCGAATGTGTCGCGTTTCCTTCTCGCCCTCAATCTCAATCGGGGCCGCGCTGGTTCGGACCCGCCACAGTCTCGCGAATGGGACGGGGCACCGAATGGCCACCAGCTCCCTGAGCTTTGCCAAGTGTATTTGTTCTGCAGCTTGACGGTGCCCCCTGTCCTGTCTGCGTGCCGTCTACTCGTCCGCCACATCCTCGTGTTACCGCGCATCCTCCTCCTGGAATTCCCCCCATTGAGCCTCGCCTTGCCGAGAGCTTGTCACGGGCGCCATGAATGCACCGACTGGGCCTGGGGCGCCTCGCGACACCGATGGGCGACAAATGCTCGCCGCGCAGATCGTGGTCAGAAAACGGCGTCACGTTTAGCATCGGCCCCTTTCAAGCATTGGCCTTCCGCCTGCCCCTGGCCCCGCCCCCTGCCCTTCCCAATCCCAGATAAATCTGTTTACGCGCAGGCGCATGTGCACTAAACGCAAATGAGAGAGGAAGGAGGAGGACGAGGAGGAGCAGGAGGACCAGGACGCGGGAATGATAAGGATGATCCTTTTGGCAAAACGGCCACGCGCGCTTCCTCCGGCGCAGGCCTGCTAGGGTCCGCGCCGGAGGAAGCGCGCAGCGGTATGGCTGCGCGCCTTTAGGCACGCTCGCCGGCCCATCGGCGAGAGCGCCCGGAGGGAGCGGACTGGGGTGGGTGCGCAACCCCTTGGTCTCGAGCCGAAGGCTACAAAGACCATAGCGAGAGCCCCAGAAGTCCCCACCCCTGCTGCGCATAACTTGCAGTCTCAATGGACACACTATACAAAATACGTGCAGGCGCGCGCGCACTAGAAAACGCAGAGGAGAGACGAAGGAGAAGGAAGAGGACCAGGACGAAGGAAGGATAAATATTATCCTTCTGGCAAAGATCCCGCGCGCGCCCTCAGGGCCGCTAGGGTCCGCGCACGCTGCGCGCAGCGGTATGGCTGCGCGCCTTTAGGCACGCTCGCCGGCCCATCGGCCACCAGTTCCAACAAAACCAAAAGCGCAGCACCGAATGCCACTGGCCTGCCACCTTGAGGCCTTCCCGGGTGAGCGCCAGGCCGCTTCGGCGAACTCGCCGACGCGCAGCAGGCAGACTGCTGATCGCGAAGGGCGCGCCGTGCACCCGAAGGGGGAAGAAGAGAGAGAAGCAGAGCGCAGGAAAACAAAGTGGGCGGCACAGGCAGGGCGAGTGCGAAGCCGCCTGGGACGCGGGCGCACATGCGCCGATGGGCACCAAGCCCAGTGTGGCACTGCCGGTTGCATCGCGATGACGTCTGACCAGGCCCGGCGTCATGGCCCAAACCGGCCCCGTGCGAGGACCTGGGATATGATGGACAATCTTTCGGTAAAACTGGAAAGATTCCCATTGGTTCGAACAGAAAACATAAACATATACATAGTATATATATGTATATATAGTCCACAACTATTTTCAAATAGATTCAAAAATATTCAAAGATATCCAATGATACCGAAATCGATTCAAACCAGACGTTCTGGGATTCGGGCTGGGATGCGGGACTGGTCCTGGGCTGGAAACCGCGCCGTCTGGCCGACCAGCTCCCCCTCGGGCAACCAATGCAAGCTGCGGGGTGCGACGCGCATGCGCTGCTGTCGATTACGAGAGGTGGGCCCAAACCTGGCGCGCTCAGATGCGGGCGTAATCGCGCGATGCGGGTGCAGACGCGAGGCCAAGCTCATCCCGCAAGATAAATCACCCGATTGGGGCCAGCGCTCATCGCGCTGCCCCTGGCCAGTGCTGGCACGCTCGCATATGCCGCCGCACTCGACGCTTGCCACCCCTCAGCCCTGAGCCACTCCTGCTTCTCCACGCGCGCCGTGCGTCCGCCGCGGTAGAGCTTCGCCGGCGCCAGGGGCAGCGCGAGCGCGCGCGCCCGCCGCTGGCCCCCCCGGTTGCGGCCGGCGCAGTATCTGCACCGCGGTGAGGATATACTTAGGGTTTGCTGACGCGAAGCTTCAACTGCGCGATCTGCGCCCTCGCGGGGTCGCCCAGCTCCGCCTGCGCCCTGCCCCGCGACCCGCTGCTCATGCGCGAAGTCCTAAGTGATAGTGGCCCCGCGGAATTTCCCGAGCCATGGTCGACCGCCGTCTCGAGATCGATCAGCACCTCGATGAACGAGTCGACGATCTCGGTGCTCGGCCCGCCACACCCCTGGACGAGGAGGTTCAGGCGGGGCACCTGGTGACGGGCGAGCGGGCGCAGGAAGGGGCGGGCCGCGGGGCTCTCGCATCTCCCATTTCAAATCGATCGCCACCGAGGCCAGCGCCGCCTGTCCCCGCGCCGACTCCGAGCAGAGCTGCCTGCTGCCTGGTTCGTCGTCGCAGTCGTTGGCTTGCCCCCCGAGAAGGCGGGCGTTGTCATCGCTGCCGCTGCCCCTCTCGCTGTCTGCCTCCGCGTCGCCCCCGCCGCTGCCTGGGCCGAGGTGAGAGGCGCGCGCCAGGTTGACAACGCCAGTGGCGATGCGTGCCGAGCCCGAGATCTTCTCGAGGTTGCTATCACCGCGCAACTCGTTCACGAAATCCATCGCGCTCGACATGTCCTCGACCGCTTCGGCGGCTGAGGTCGCAGCGCGGCCCAGTCCTGTCGCGCGACCGACGCTAGCATCGGGCGGCCGTTGCTGCGCCGCGACACCCAGGTCACCCACTCGCCACTGCGCAGCGGAGGTCACGCAACGCCCCGCGAATCGCCCAGCCAACAAGCAGCGGCATGAGGAACAGCCGCCTTTGCTCCGAGATGTCTGGCGTGATACTGTCCGCGAACTGCTGCAAGAGATCGCGGCTCAACTCGGGCTTCTCCGGCGCCTCGCGGCTCGCATTCAGGCCAAGGACGCTGTCCGAGTTGAGTTTCGTCGGCCGGCCCCTTCAGCCGCAGGTGCTGCCGCCGCCGACCGACTTGATGCGGGGCGAGGATGGTCTGGCACGCGCGCGGCGGTCGATGACCGGTCGCGCTGGCAAAGCGGGCCCCGCGCCGACGAACAGCAGCCAGCGCGACGAACGCGATGGATAGCACCGCCGCGAACGCGATGACTGGAGCTGCAGCGCCAGCAGAAATCATTGCTCCATCGGGCTCCGCGCCGTTGGAATTGACCGCCCCCGCGCGGCAAGGGGGGGGGCTCGCGGGCGCGCGGCGCGGCAGCGAGCGGCCCAACCCGAGCGATCTAGAGCCAGAGTGGCAACGGGGGGAAGGGGGGGGAAGGGCATGAAGGGCGCGAGGAGAAAGACGGAGTGATGCGGGTAGAATGAAGAGATACAAGGATATACGACAACTAATAAGATAGGAGGGGGGACTGGATGGGGGGGGAGATAGGACAAGGCGGAGGTGGAGGGGGGTGCGGGGGGGGGCGGATAAAGGAGGAACAGCAGGACAAAGGAGAAACAACAGGACAAGGGAGAAGTTGAAGTTATGGAATGCAAAATGGGATAGAAGGAGGGAGGCGAAGGCGGGAACGATGAGGAGATGGAGGAGGATTAGACACCAGACGAGACCGACAATACCTACACCCGCCAAGTGGGATCGGCGGGTCTCGCCCCTTGCGAGACGCAGGTGTGGGTGAACGACGGTACTTCGGGATGTATTAACTATTCCAATGTTGGGGGCATTTCAGATACCATGGAATTCAACGCGTTGAATGCCGAAGCTGCCTTTCTAGACGACCCGCTCCTTGGGGGGGGCAGGTGGGCGGAAAGCTGGGCTGCAGAGGTCCAAGCTCAAGGGGCGCCGGCGATTGCTTGCGCCCGGTGCTCGCGCGAAGGCGCGGCGCCAGCCCGAGCTCGTCCAGCGCCGCAGGGCAGCAGCGCGCGAAGCGCGCCAGCCAGCAGAGGCAATGTCCACTTCTGCTGGCCGCTATC